CTAGCACTTTCATCTAAAAACTCAAAGAATCTTTGGAACAACATAAAAAGAATAGCCCATTTAAATAGCTCAAATACCGATAATTCAATTTTGTTAAATATAAAGCCAACCCTTAAGGAATCCGTTAATTATATCAATAATTACTTTTTTGCTAACATGGGCAAATCTCTAGCGGATAATCTTTTAAAAATTAATACAAAAACAAATAATCATTTATTAGACACTAATCATACACAGTCTAAATCGTTTGTGCTTTTAGACACTGATATAACAGAGGTACATGATATACTTATGAGCCTCAAATCAGACAGTGCACCCGGATATGATAATATTCCGACAAAATTCCTCAAGCTTGCTAAAAATGAAGTGGTCCCTATTATTTGTCATTTAGTTAATATTTGTTTTAAGCAGGGTATTTTCCCGTCATTATTGAAACAAGCCATAATAACTCCAGTACACAAAAATGGGAGCAGAGACGACGTTAATAATTACAGGCCTATTTCTGTTCTTTCCTCTATCTCAAAAGTAATAGAAAAACTAATAAATAAACGACTAGTACAATACATCAATAAATTTAAGGTACTGTCTGACATGCAATTTGGTTTTAGACAAGAAAAATCTACAGAAGACGCTATAACAGCTCTTACTTCCCTAATCGTTGACCTACTTGATCAAGGAAAGAAAACCCTAGCCGTTTTTATAGACCTTAAAAAAGGCCTTTGACACTGTCTCTATTCCTATCTTAATACAAAAACTAGAAACAATTGGCATCGTAGGTACACCACTCAACTTACTCAAGGATTACTTGTCTGAAAGAAAACAAAAAGTCAAAATTGGACAGTGTATTAGTGATGACTCCTTTGTTACCTATGGTGTCCCACAAGGCAGTGTACTAGGCCCTACCTTGTTTCTTGTTTATATTAACAATTTATGCAACCTAAAAATGATGGAGCTCAAATTTTTTCATACGCGGATGATACGGTTGTTGTATTTTAAGATACAACTTGGGAAGCAGTTCGCAAACGCACTTAACTGGGCCTGACTGAAATAGCCTTCCTGGCTTAGGACTAATTTGCTTACTCTTAACGACCAAAAAACTAACTACGTATGCTTTATCATCAATAACCGGACTCAGCCACAAAATGATTTTAATATAAAAATTCATAAATGTAAAAACGTTATTGATACTGATTGCACTTGTCCAACCATAAGCAAAGTATCGGCTATTAAGAATTAAGGTATAATTATAGACCAACGTTTGACGTGGCACAACCAAATAGAGCATCTTATGGGTAGGGTAAGAAAGCTAATTTGGATTTTTAAGCAACTTAGACATATAGCATCAAAAAATATACTAACTAAAGTATACACTGCATTGGTACAATCTTTACTGGCATATTGCATTCCTATATGGGGTGGCACGTCCAAAACTAAAAACTAAATTCATGGAAGTAGAAAGGGCTCAAAGAGCATTACTCAAAGTAATGTTTTTCAAACCGTACAGATTTTGTACAGAAAAATTATATAATATATGTGAGCTACTTACAGTAAGAAAATTATATATTTTACAAACCGTTTTAAAAACACATAGTAGTCTGTCTTATGACTCGAACATTTTGCAAAGAAGAAGAGGTACTGTAATAGTAACACAGAAAGTAAACACAAAATTTGCTTCTCATCAATATAAAAAGCAATCAAGTTTTTATATACAGTAAAATAAACAAAATTCTCAATATATATAAATTGAATAGATATAATTGTAAACAATTGTTGACAAAATGGTTAAAACAATTAGACTATGATAAAACAGAGGCTATTTTACAATGCATTATTTAGACACTACAATATTAGTAAGCAAATACACATAAACACATACATAAAAACACATACAACACACACACACACACACACACACACACACACAAGTTTCTTTAATAGTTTATATCCTATGGATTAAGTTGATCATTATTTGTATTATGGCTATGGAAGAGCGGGATCTTCTGGCACAGGTGTTTTTACACTTAAAAGAAGATTTCCACAATCTCAAGATCATTGTAAAAAAATTTTTAGTTGCTCAATAAAGATTTATTATTATTAATAATATTATAAAATACAGATGCGTTGTCACCCATGAGGACTAAGATGAAATGCCTCGTTTCCAGTGAAAAGGGTCTCCGGTTCTCTACACTCACCATACGAAACACAGCAGCATTAAGCTACCATTTTACGCTGGTATTCTGTGAGAGTGTGGTCCTTCCCCGGTCCAGCCAACCCATTCGTGCTACAACTACTCTACTAATATAATTGCAGCATTGCTCTACCACGTATTAAAAGGGGTTCGTTTTTAGTGGTAAACGAGCAAGCTTGTGTCTTCTGTGGATTAAACTGGAATAGATTTGTTCAGCAAAGACTCCACTTTAGACACAAGTTTGTCCCGGTACTCGGCGACGTTTTCCCGAGAAATATTGGCACGTCTAGTGTATAAGGAATTACCACTGCCCTCGTTTGCATAGCAATGCATGCAGAAGAAACAGCATTGGTAATAGCACGCAGCCTTGTTGAACGCCAGAGTAGGTTTGTAATCAGAACATGCACTGTCTACTATGACCTTGATCCTCCGATTACCAATGAAACTGGTGATCCAAATGCACAACTTCTCGGGGAGCTCTTAGGAAGGGCGCTACGAAAGGAGCGCTTTGTGCAATACCCGATCGAAGGCCTTGGATTGTATTGTTTCTGCCTATCTATGAGTCAGGTAGGATAGATGATTACCAACTGATCGGCAACGACGAAAACTGTATTGGCGGTCACTAATCAACTGGTGATCCTCAAGCTTCCTCATGAGCTGGTAGTTTATAGTGGACTTCATTATTTTGGAGAACAGGGATGTGATGGCGATAGACCTCTAGTTGGACAGATCTGAGCAATATTCTTTTTTAGGGATCGGGTGGACAAAAGTTACCTTCCATAAATTCGGAACTATGCCCTGTGTACTGGAAAAGATTCGTTAAAACCGCGACTAGCTCTCTAGCACAATAGAAGGGACTCCATCGGGCTCCTTCGACTTGCAGACGTCCAGGGAGAAGAGTGCTTTGCGAACCGAGTGTTGTGTTAACCGTACATCCGACATGGACCACTTAAACCGTAGGATGTTAGGCAGTGTGTTTCCCCCCGTTGTCGAGAGTCGAGATGGACGCAATAAGAGACCCTAACAGATCGGCTTTCTAGTATGCGGCATGAGACAGTGAGTCATCCTCTCTGTGCTGAGATGGAAGGGATTACTGACAGAAGTTCCCTTGAACAGCTTTGGCGAGAGACGGGAATGCACGGGTTCCCGAAGGAAGGTGAACTAACTTCTCGCCAACTCTGCCGATATGCTCAGACCTTGCCTTGATAATGACTCTTTTCAAGGACCTGGAGGCGGAATTATACTTATTTTTAAAAGCGCTGATGTCTTCATTCAGAGACATTTATCCGTCAACCCAGGCTCGGTATCAATCCTGCTTATAGCGTGATACTATTTTACAGGAGCGATTAAACCATGGCTGGGATCTGCATCCTATGGGTACCACAGAGCATGGAATAAAAAGTTTCATAAGCTAAAGTACCACATCAGATACAGAATTAGCAACAACGCTGGGATCGTCAAGCGGGAATCAAACCCACCTTCAAGGGTAGTATGCAATAAAGACCGCATGTTATCCCAATTCGTCGACCTATAGCGCCTTCATCAGCCTGTGGAATGCAATCATGACGTAAACGTGACTGGCACCACACTCCGGACAAGACCGTGATCCGACTAGCCTAGAGAAGCGTCAATGGAAACCAGCCTGATATCCGTACAGAGGAGAGGACAGCAGGAGGTCCAACAGGGAAGGAGTATGATCTTTCACATCTTGAATCCGGGTAGGTGAAGTAACCAGTTTTATCAGTCAATATGCCAAGGAAAAGTTATAAGCAGATCTCCTCGCATGATTGGTTAAACGTGAACTGAGCTATTCGGCGTGGAGGGTGTTAAAATCGCTAAGAATCACTATCTCTGCGGATGAGATCTGCTGCAGCTGGGAATCTGTAGATATTTTGACGTGGCCGATGTGTCGGTCTGTTTTATTCACTACCACTATGACACCTATAGAAGCACCCGTAGACGCAGGGAAGTTCGTTGCTGTCCATGTACTGCTATAAAATGGAAAGGTTCGTACCTTTAAGACTGCCGAGGCGTCGAAAACAGATGTCCTATCTAGTATACGCAAACTCCAGCCCGGGGTACAAAGGAGTGTTTTAATTTGCACCCCGGGTAAGAGAGATATGAATTATCAGCTGAAGAGGACACCTAAGTCTCTACTAAGAAGAGCAAGGCCAGGCTTCGCCGTCTACGGATGGTAGTGGAAAGTGTTAAGATTGAAATGAAGTCCCCTGAATTTGCAAAAATGTACAGATAGCGTGACAGGGCTCACCTTGGTCTTATTGCTCCGCTTGCCCCGAACAGTTTTAGTAGCATGATCAGCGAGGGATTATCCGTCACCAAGGTGCTGGTACCTGGGGTAGTTTTAAATTGATTCCGCTACCATGTAAGGGAGGGGGCAGGGCTTCCAAGGGGAGGGACCAAAGTGGTCTCCCGCCACCTGCACTTACCAAGCGGTACCAGCCCGGTTCGAGCCCGCCCATCCGTGACACAGCAAAAGCTGCCGCGTGGCTCTAGTATGTAATAACTATAATTAAAAATATCTTTACTTTTTATTTTATTTTAAATCCGTATTTAAATAATTCAAACATAATACAAAACTTTTTATTGTCCATCAAAAAATAAGAAATCTAGAAAAATAGTAAGGAAACCAAATAGATTATTTTTACTTTTTTTCACTGCATTTTTTACTACTACTGATAATTACGACTTTTAACGTATAAAGAATGATGTATTATAATTATAAATATTCCATTCCATATTTTGTCTTTAAGCTTGGTTTCAATGACCGCATTTAGTTGTTATTTTCACAATCTTATTGCTTCATTATATAAGCGATGTAAATCTGAAAACAGTTTAAAGATATTATTTAAAATTCATTTCATATTTAGTATTGAAGTGCCGTGGTAGCTCGGGGGTTAAGCGTTCGCTGTAAATGTCACAGTATGGGAATGACCCGGATTTAATCTCCAACGGTACCAATAAAAATTTCAATTACAATTTTAAGTGTTGATTTATTACACGCTCAGCGGTGAAATAAGTAAACCTGCGTATCCAAGTAGTTGAAAAAAATCCGAAGGTAAGTGAAATTAGCCATCACTTTGTGGAGCAGCACAGTTGGTACCTAGATCTAAAACCCCTCAGTGAAGAAGAAGGCCTGTGCCCAAAAGTTGGACATTTATAAGTTGTAACTGTTTTGTAACAAACTTCAATACTGTAGCTAGAAAAATAACATAATTAATAAAATTTCAACCAATGAGTGTCGTAATGTGAAAAAGGTATTAACCCTTCAAGCGCCATAAAAATCCCATGCAGTCGCATGCGCCCGGCAAATCCCGAGCGGTCGCATGCAACCGCACCCACCCACAGCACTTAAAACCATTAAAACTTATATTTAGAGACTACTTTTCTATAAAGACATTTAGCATTATAAAATCTATACAAAATTTTCTATCTTGTGGTCATTCACAAAAAGATTTTATTGTATTTTGATAACAAAAAAAAAACATACCAATCGAATTTCGGAAGCGTTAAATCACAATTATTTAATATATATTACTCGTAATTATTTACGTAAGAAGATAAATTAAATTCACACAAAACTTTCATTACAATTTCATAATAAAACACTATACTAAAACATTAATAAAACACTAGAAAAACACAAAAATCAACACAATAACATTCACACGAAAATGGCGTACGAAATAAATGTAGATTATAAATAAATATTCATAAGATAACAGTTTTTTATTGCACTAGAGGATAGAGTGTTTCATATTGATTATATAATGCCAAACTTGTTCATAGAGAAGTAGTCTCTATATATAAATTTTTATGGGTTAAATTGCTGTGGGTGTGTGCGACCTCATAAAACCGCTAGGGATTTGACGGAATATGGCCGCGGTCTCATGAGACCGCTACGGATTGAAAGGTTAAAGCAAAAAAACCACTTAGTGATTACAATCTCTTTTTCCTTTAATATCTTTGGCCTAATAAATACGTATAAACGTTAGTTTTCGATGATTAGTCACCTATCACCGTGTAGACACTGTGTAAGAATATCTACCACCCCATATTGTCCTGTGGGTATCGTAAAAAGCAACGACTGCAATTGCTATGGATTGCAAACTCGCTTGCGAAGCGTGCAGCAAATCTATGGGAGAGGCATATGTCCAACAGTGAACTGTATAGGATGTAACAGTAGGGTGTATGGTTGTGTCACTCGTCAGTTATATCAATGAACTCGAAGCTTCAAAAATACTGGTTGATTTTTTACCGCCTGGAAAAAAATAGGGTGTAACAGGTGAACAGAATAGAAGCCTATAGCACTGATATTTTACAATTTTTTTTACATTAACTTAAAATGAAATTGATCTATCAATGTCTACTACTAATTAGGTGTGTATTACTTTGTTGTGAAAGCTTTTAACTTATTCATTTATTTAGTTTTGTGCTTATATTTTAATAGCGAAAGTTTATTTCAAATTATTGGTATTTATTGATAGATCCAATTTATACTTCAATCTCAGAATATGCTAATGTAAAAGCGAAAAAATTGTAAAATATCAGGGTGTGGTACTGATAGACATGGCTTCAATTTTGTTTACATGTTACATCCTATTTTTTCCAGACGGTAAAAACAATCATCCAGTATATACACGTCGTAGTCCGATTGTGACATTTCATGATACGCGATTAATGATTTATATGATAATTAAAAAGTATAGTCATAGTTACAACTGAAACTTTTTCAATCTTAAATAATATCAGCTACAGAAGGTCTTGGTTTATTACAATAAAACTGAATTAACAGCATACCAGTTTTTATGGAAGATGCTGCTTCCCATCATATGTTTCAATTTCCCTCTGTTGCCTGTTACGAAACACGCGGGACACGGTTTTTTCATAATTTTTATAATAGTTTTAGTAGGTCTAAAACTAACAAAAAATATATTTAAAGTTTTCTGCCAAAATAGGGTTATGGATTTTTTAGATTATATGGATTCTTGGCAGAGAGTCCACGTTCTCAATTCGTTATTATTCAGAAAAATCTCGGTATGTCACCGAGTCCGTCGAAACAAAAACGATCGATAAACAATAAATTAACCAAAATCAATAATTTTACCTGGAGAATTATGAGCAAGTAGTTGATACTGATATCCAAAATCGTTAATGGAACTCCCAGATCAATCGAGAGGACCGATGCATTCACATACCGAGGTCTCTCGAATTTCACGCTGTGGTACAAGCTCTCCGTGATTTTTTGAATTGCAGTTTTCTCTGGAAACCAAAAAGAACTTTTTTCAGAGGGAAATACTTATTAAAAAATAAATACAATAACGCTTTATGTACCTTGAGACTCGAATTTTAATGCCAGAACGTTGGACAATTGGTGAATAAGTTGATCACAAGCCGAGTTGGTTTTAGAAGCAGCTGAGCATAGCAACCAAAGTGAATAGAAGGATTTAAATTCACGCCATACCAAAAACATCGTGATGTTACCTTTCTAAAATTATGATTAAAACAAGCTATAAGTTACAAATTTGTCATCAATTTTTTCATAGAATAGGGTGACAAACGAGCAAACAGTCCACTTGATGGTAAGTGGTTACTATGGCCCATAGACATCTAAATTTATCCTCGATTACGAATCAAAATGCCGTTGCGTTGCCACCCGTCAGGACTAAGATGGATTGCCTCGTTTCAAGTAAAAACGGTCTCCGTTTCTTTACACTCACCATATTAAATACAGCAAAATTAAGCTACTATTTTATGCTGGTATTCTGTGAGAGCGTGTTCCTTCCCCGTTCGAGCCGACCCATTCGTGCTACAACTATACTACTAATATAACTGCAGCCTGGCTTTGCCACGTATGAAATGATTATTTACGACTTTGATCTCATTTCAAGGACAATATATCAAAGTTTATAATGGAGCTGTGCTTACGAGTTATTTGTGGAATTTTATTACTCTATGCTTTAGTAAATTTAAAAAAAAAAACAATATTTGGAAAATAAATGTTACCCTATTTCATCTAACATTTATTATAGTAAATAAGATGACACATGATTTTAATATTAATAATACAGTTTGGTCTCCCCTGCGGAGGGCTTACATCTGGTTGAGCTTTTATTTACTAATGTAGATATTACTAATTTATTTATGTTAGTATATTAAATATATATTTATGTGTATTTATCTTTTCCTTTTATATATTTATTCAGCCCAACTGGATGAGGATACTTTATGAATATCCCGAAATAATTTTAATATTTTTATTCAGACTTAGTCTATTATACAGAGATGTTAGTATAATAATAATTATATATCTACTGAAAACTTGTGTTAGTATATAACTTATTTTTTATAGTTTTTACCAAAGCAAATTTAACATCCCGCGTAAATAACATGTATCCTATTTATTTACATTTATTTAATTAAGAAATGCAAGTAAAATTTTATATTTTCCAATAAACATCTCGTTACGCCGGATGTGTAATAAACCTTGACTAGCGACGGTCCAATGTGCGAGACTTCTGATAACACGATGCTCAATCTATCTACCAAGCGTAAAAATTATGCCAAATCCTTCATTGAGACTTGGCTCCAGCTGTCAACTTGTACGATCTGATAAAGAAGACGAAGAAACCTTATGTTCTGTGTATCGGTGAATAAAAAGCAATCAGCAAAATAATTATTTAAAATGATTGCACAACTTAGTTGCTTTAATTAACCTCTCAATCCCTAAGCGATCGAATTTGACCGCGGCGCTATACACACACACATAGATCAGATAAAGATGATTATAAAGTGACGGATACAATAAGCTTATTATGATTCAAATTTAAAATATGTATTTAAAAGAACACTTGCCATTGGTGAATCTATTAGAAAGACCAAAAGACTGTACACAACAGTCGTAATAAAAGTCATGCCAAGCACGATTAAAATCTGAAAAATAAAACTTTTTGATTATAGTGATGTATAGTGAACCTTAAAATTAAAAACAAATGGTATAATGAAAAATGTTGTACAACCGACTTCAATATAAATAAAATGAGAACATCAACAACGTAGTCGAAGTCAATTAAATACACATTATAACTCAAAACAACATAAAAACTACTGGTAAAACTTTAAATGAAAAAAGTTATCAAAATCTTTTCACCTAGAAAAGTGTTCCGAGTTTCCGAGGGTACACACGTAAAAAATACAGTCAAAATGATAACTTCCCCCTTTTTTGTAGTCGGTTGAAAAATTAAACGTCATTAAAGCTGTACTTAATTTTATTGTAAGTCAAGTAAAACGGAGATCCTTTTTACTGGAAACGGGGCATTTCATCTCCTCATTTCCTCCATTTAGTCCTTAGGAAAGGCAACACCGTTAATTATTGATTGAGGATATATTTAGATGTCTATAAATCACAGCTTTCACTTAAGATGAGGTGGACTGTGTGCTCGTTTGTCACTTTTATGCTATTAAAAAGCCACGTGGATATTCTTGTTTATTATTTGAGCAGTCTGTGACTATGTGGTAAACACTGGAATATTACATAACACAAATAAATCCACATTAATAGCTGTACAATGTAATGGAAGCGCTAATGATTTTTATCGATTGGGGAACAACCTACCTTGCACCAAATAATATCAAGAAACTAACGCAATGCTTTGTTTCGTATGATAAGAGAAACCCTCTAGAACTAATAACCCTCCTAATAGACCCTCCTAAGACGACATATCTGCATTTTCATTTTTAATCGAAGATTAACCTACCGTATGATAGACTGTGTGATCATTGTTCATTGTAACTTACCTATATAAATAATAACATTCGATTACAATCCATAATGTTTTCTTATAAAGTGGAATATTGTTAGATCTTTACCTATGAAATTATTTACTATGAATTGTCGTTTCTTATGAAATTAGTTAACGAATTTTTTTTCTATATTTTTTATCGTTATTAATAAAAGTTTTTGCCAACGTAGAGTAACAGTGTAAAGTGGCAGTTTCTTGATGCCATTCTTGAAGAAATCAGTTGGATGAGACTCAATAAATCCTTAAAAGGCATAAACCACCAAACAATTACTATCACTTTTCTAGGGGTAAATTTTCGTTTAAGGCATAGTTTAGGTGGTGAACCAGCATCCAAACAACTCGCTGAGAGGTTGTGATTATCAAACGGAATCCATTTCTCGTTAAAGGATAACAATTCGGTTCAAAATTCTTTAATTTGTGCGCCTGTTACGCAATGCAAGACATGTCTGATTATCAATGATGACGAAAAAGACTCAAATACTATGAAACCATAACGTTAATGAATAAACTAACTAATTTCACATTCACTTTATTTTTTTAAAAAAGGTTCCACATTATTTTAAAAAATAAAGTGAATGTGAAATTAGATTTTATATTCTATGTATTATATATATATATATATATATATATATATATATATATAATATATTTGAATAAGAAGTATTGAAATAAAAAAAGAATTTGAAATGGCCAGTCCTGCAAAACGACAATTTCATAGAAGCTATTGAAAAGAAAATAAGATTAGTACAAATTTTCTCATTCTGAACACTAAAATTTAAGCATGCGGTAATTATGGTAAACGTTTTCCTAAATTTAAGTTTTACAGAATTTAATTTACATATTATACAATTACGCTAAAAGATAGATGCTATGTGCTGTATTTTACATATAAAAAGTAAAAATGACAATAATATAAAAGTATTAGTAATAAACAATATAGATTCAGCCTGATGATATATAGATAGTTGTGTGTTCAATTTAATTAAGAATTAGAATAATTACCGGTAAATTGTATTCCTTTTCTATATGCGCCGCAATAAGCAAAATGTGTCGGTATATTTTTGACCCATATTTTGCGTTAGTCTCAACTATACTGAAAAGTCTGAGATTAATTCCAGATATTATAACAGAATAGAATCCAATTTCGGTATCATGTATAGCGAAAGCTAAAGTCAATATTGTTACAGTACTGGGTGATAGTTCTAATTTCCACATTCCAATAACATCCAAAGTTATTGATAAGATGCTAACAATGATGACGATAAATGACTTTGTTTCAATTTTCGAAGAGTAGTTTTCTAAAAATACACATTTTTCATCTAACACTTTTATAGCCTCAAATGTTTCTATTTCAAAAGCTGCAACCCACCACAAAAGCATTGCTTCAATAGACACGAGTACTTCAAAAAGAACAACATTATAATTAAATGAAAAATTTAAATAGATTAAATCAAAAATAATCAAACCAATCAATGCAATTAATACAGTAAAAATTATTATGTGACAGAATAATTTTGCTCTGGAACTTTCAAGTAGGTACGATCTCTTGATACAGAGAAAGTGTTGTAAAATTATCAAACTTCGCATGCTGTGAAAAGTTTCGTTTCTATACAGCATGTTTTTTCAGTTGTTATGTTATGTACATTTTTCAGTAAAGCTGAGAGGTAAACTTCACTTGCTGCGTTACGGAAAAAATAGCTCTTTTGCCTGTGTTCTTGCCCGGCGTTTAACAGGCAATAAATATTTTTTTTGATTCAATTAACAAGCCATATACACCACTTTTGATTTTAGTAGAACGATAACAGAAACAAAATGTGTATCAATTCAATTTATTTAATGGAATGCTCGTAATTACTTAGATATTTGTTGTATATCTTTTGTGGAATATGGTTTTATAAAAGTTAAAATTATCAGGATTTTTAAATGGTTTGCTCATTAATTTGAAAAATAACATTTTAGTGTAAATGGAAACAAATACCCGATCAAATCATATTTATTTCCGTACATGCATATTTGTTGTACATATTGTATTGTACATTTTGTACATATTTATTTGTGCCGTGTAGTGGCCGTTGAGAATATCCACTACCCCATATCTTCCCGAGGGTGTCGTAAGAGGCGACAGAGGGAGACAGGCAGGAGATGGGCAGCAGCATCTTCCTGATAACAGCATTGATATAATAAAAAAACTGCGGTTGCCAACCCGCTCGCCAAGCGTGGCAACTATGGCAAATATCCCCCCCATGAGTAACGGCGGCCCCGCTATTCCTGGCTACGGTGGCGACCATGGTAACGGCGGGGCAGGGGGTGCTAAGAATCTCCGGAGGAGGTTCGGTTGCCACCTACGACGACTCGACCTGGCAACATATAATGCACGCACCCTGAGGACTGACGAGAAGATACTGGAGCTGGAAGAAGAGGTAGATAAGTTATGCTGGCATATTATTGGATTATCCGAGCTCGGAAAAGAAGAGGAGGACACGGTAATCCTCGAGTCCGGCAACTTGTTCTATCACCGGGAGGGCGACCATCTGTCCCAAGGAGGTGTTGGATTTATCGTCCACAAGTCTCTCATCAACAACGTTGTAAATATTGGGAGTGTGTCGACGAGGGTCGCATACCTGATACGCAGAATCACCAAAGGTTATTTATTCACTGAAGGTCATACAGGTTTACGCACCAAACTCGGCACATCCCGATGAGGACGTGGAGGAAATGTATAAGGATATTTCCAGAGCCATGCATTCCTCCAAAACCCACTACACGGTGTTGATGGGTGACTTCAACGCAAAACTAGGCACAAGAGAAAGCGGTGAGCTGAAGTTAGGGACATTTGAAGTAGGGCAACGGAACCGTAGGGGTCAGCAGCTGGCCGACTTTATGGAGAAAGAGGGACTCTTTATGACGAATTCTTTCTTCCAGAAGCGGCCCCACAGGAAGTAGACCTGGTCGAGCCCCGACGGTTCGACAAAAAATGAGATTGACTTCATTATGACGATTAGACGCCAACTGTTTAGTGATGTCTCAGTGATCACAAGGGTGCAAACTGGCAGCGATCACCGAATGGTTACAGGCACACTGAACCTAAACGTTAAGTTGGAGAGGTCTCGTCTAATGAAGTCAATGCTCCGTCACCCTCGTGCTCTAATCCAGAATCTGCTTTCAGTGCCTCAAAGATTGCAATGCCGTGGAAGATATGAATGATAAGCTCGAGAATGGAAACTGTCCATGCGGTCGGGGATAAGTTTTGCAGGACCCGCCGCAGAAGAACACAAAAACTCTCCGATCACACTCTTAATCTCATGGCTGTTAGCCGGGAGATGAGGCTGCATTCGTCAACAGATTTGACAACATACAGGCAACTGAACAGACAGATCTCCCAATACATGCAGCGAGACTTGTGCAACTTTAATACTGCTCGTATTGAAGAAGCGATCGAGCGAAACCAGGTCTCCAAAGTCTTTGCCAGAGATTTGTCTGCCAGTAAGAGCCAACTGTCAAAGCTGAAGACTAAGTGTGGCAGCATCGTTTCCGGGACACCTCGGATATCCCTGACTGAGCGAGATTAGAATTGCTCCCCAGCACCTTAAAAACGGCAAGTCCCCGGGCGAGGATGGAATTACAGCACACACAGAAAACCGGCACTTGAAGTCCTTCAGAGGCTCTTTAATTCCGTCCTCCATGGTGGCACTACTCCGGAGGCGTGGAGCAGAAGTGCGGTGGTCTTGTTCTTCAAGAAAGGTTACAACGCCCTCTTGAAGAACTACAGATCGATATCCATTCTTATCCGCGTCTATGTGTTGATTTCGAGAGTCATTACGAGGACTCGAGGACTTCCAGCCTCCCGAACAAGCCGGTTTCCGAAAGGTCTTTAGTACCATAGACCACATACAAACCCTTCGGCAAATTGTACAGAAGTCCAAGGAGTACAATCTGCCACTTTGCCTGGCGTATGTGGACTATGAGAAAGCCTTTCATTCCGTCGAAATTTGGGCGGGGCTACAGTCTCTTCAGCGGTGCCAAGTTGACTGTCGGTATATTGAAGTGCTGAAGTGTTTGTACAGTAGGGCTACGATGGCTATCAGCTACTGAACCAGAGTACGAAACTTATCCAACTACAGAGAGGTGTAAGACAGGGTGGCGTTATTTCCCCGAAACTCTTCACCGCTGCATTGGAAGACGTTTTCAAGCTACTGGACTGGAAAGGATACGGTATTAATATCATTGGCGAGTATATCACTCTCCTTCGATTTGCCGACGATATAGTCCTTATGGCAGAATCACTGGAGGACTTAAGCATTATGCTCAATAACCTCAATAGTGACTCCTAACGGCCTATCCTTAAGATGAACATGGACAAAACAAAGATCATGTTTAATGTCCATGTCACACCTATGCCGGTAGTTATTGGGAGCACTAAGCTCGAAATTTTTTTTTTTTTTCTCTCTTGCCTTCTTTTTTAAAATTTGGTTACCCGAAGCGGTAAATAAATTAACCCAAATCCTTTTTTGGGGGTTTTAGTTTTTCTGCCAGTTGTTGACGAGTACGTTTACCTGGGACAAATAGTCCGACTAGGTAAGTCCGACTTCGACCGAGAGGTCAACCGACGGATTCAACTCGGCTGGGCAGCGTTTAAGAAATTATGACACATCTTTCGTCAGCTATATCTCAAAACCTAAAAACGAGACTGTACAACCAGTGCGTGTTACCAGTGATGACTTATGGAATTGAGACGTAGTCCTTCATTGCTGCCTTCGTATGAGGACGCTTAAGGACGCTCGGAGAGCTATGGAGAGAGCTATGCTCGGTGTATCTCTGCGACGCATTACGACGCATCTTTTCGTCAGATATACCTCAAAATTGAAAACTAAGTTGTTAGAACCAGTGCCTGTTGCCAGTGATGACCTACGGAACCGAGACGTGGTCCTTCACTGCTGGCCGTATTAGGTCGCTCAAGGTCGCTCAGCGAGCTATGGAGAGGGCTATGCTCGGAGTTTCTCTGCTAGATAAACTTAGAAATGAGGATATCCGCAGTAAAACCAGAGTGACCGACATAGCCCAACGGATTAGTAAGCTGAAGCGGCAACGGGCCCGCCATATAGCTCGAAGAACCGAAGAAGAAAAAGAAGAACTGAACTCGAAGCCTCGTACCGGTAGGCGAAATGTATGGCGACCCCCCACTAGATGGAGTGACTACCTGGTAAGACATGCAGAACGTCGATGGATGCAGGTGGCTCAGGACCGTGCTTTGTGGCATACCTTAGGGAAGGCCTATGTTCAGCAGTGGACTTGTGAAGGGCTATAATGATGATGATGACATACATATATTTCCGTTACCACACAGTGCTTCGATAACTAAAGATATTGCGTAATGATTTTTTTTTTATATTCACGTGGATACTACTCATGGAATAATACAAAATGATTTCATCTCGTATAATTTTCATTTTTAAATTTCCATTCAAGCACTTCACAGCACCCATGGTCACAATAAAACTGGGATGTTTGACGTCCTGATGTCATATTAACGAAGGCTTTTTCAATTTTTATCCCATTTAAAGATATTGCAATCGTACAATTTAATGAAAACGGCGAAACCATGTAGGGCCATGCACAATGTAAGGGTAGGATTCCGTAGTTGCCCGTCACAATACGTATACTTTGAAGATGTCTTCTTGATAATATGATCATTTTATGCGAGATCGCGGTATAACCGCCATAGAGACTGTGCCCAACTAAGTGAGGGACTTAGTTTCAAAGCAGAAATATAAAAAGTATCTCAAATAATAAGTTCATAAAAAGTTTATTTCACAGCTTTGTAGATGTGATTAATATCTATAACAACGCTAAATTAAAGCTTTGTAGCAGGGAGAAACTGACGGACATAGCGAAATTATAATGATTTCTTGTAGTTCCTTATAGTTTAATGTAGGAACACTTAAATGGGAGCCAATTAGATCCGACGTAACTTTCTTAGTTTCTTCTCTTCATCGTCTCTTTAATTCTTAAATCCCCATAAAATTCCCATGCAGTCGCATGCGCCTGGCATATCCCGAGCAGTCGCATGCGACCGCACCCACCCACAGCACTTAAAACCATTAAAACTTATATTTAGAGACTACTTTTCTGTAAAGAAGTTAAATATTATAAAATCTATTCAAAATTTTCTATCCTGTGGACTAAACAAAAGTCAGGTTTTACTTCATTACAAAAATATTTTATTGTATTTTGATAACAAAAAAAAAACATACCAAGCGGATGTCGGCAGCGTGAAAATCACAATTATTTCTATATTTTACTCGAAAGTATTTACGTTTAACGATAAATTATATTCACACAAAAACTTTTATAACAATTTTATAATATAACTATATAGTAAA